TCACTCTCTCTATATATATATAGTGCCAATAAAACAGAATTACACATAACAGAAATTGCAAGTCAGAATGAAGTATCAGTGAATTTTTGAAATGAGAAAGAAAGAAAGAAAGAAAGAAAGAAAGAAAGAAAGAAAGGGCGAGCAGACAGTGCAATGACAAACTGGGCAAAGGGCTTGAATAAATGTTTCTCCAAAGAAGACATTTAAATAGCAAATAAGCACACGAGTGGATCCACAACCTTTGTTGTTTGGGCAGAGTTGGGCAGGGGGAGCGATGCGAGGCTGGCATGGTAGGAGGGTCATCCCGCCCCTTCTTCCTCCCCAGAGCCTGCAGGAGCACCTCTGGCTCCCCACCCTCCTCTCCACAACTGCTCCTGTCCTGCTTCAGGGTCTGGGGGATGTTTCCTGCCCCTCAGGCACAGCCCGGGCACGCAGATAGGGTCCCAGCCACCTGAGGGCCGTGGAAGGTAGGGACATCTCCACTCCTAGCCCCACCAGCAACCTTCCTCCTGCTCTGCAGTGCTCCCCACTTCTCTAATTGCTGCTCTTGCTCAGGGCCCTCCCATCCGCTGCTCTGCTTTCCTTCTTCTCTCCACAAAACCTTCCACATCATGGTCCAGCTGTAGTCTCCAAATGACCCCATCCTCAGAGGCAGTGTCACCAGACCATTCCCATGCCCTCTTTGGGTCCCGTGACCCCCTCCTTGGGTAGTGTTTTCCCTCTGCCTGGAATGGTCCAGCAAATCCTGTCTCTGCACGCATTGCAGGGTTTGGCTCTTTCTGCCCAGCGTACTGGTGAATCACAAGACGATAATATTTCTCTGGGAAGAAGTTGCCAGCCACCTATCAACCCATCCATCCCAAACAGCGCAGAGACCTGCGGTGTGTGCCTCCCATTGGTATAGTGGCGAGTGCGTGGAATTACTCATACCAGATCCTTGCTGCAGAAGGTATAGCCTGGCTAATCCCGCCTGTAGATCTGACTGCTGGCTTACAGGAAATGCATAGGATAGAGAAAAGAATCAGATGACTCACAAGGAAGCGACAATAAATTAAGACTAGAACATCGTATAACACAATGGTGGTGACTCTTCAAAAGTTCAAAATCAGCCAAGTGCCCATCGTCTCATCCATTTGGGAGGCTGAGCCAGGAGTATCATGAATATGAGGCCAGCCTAGGTAATTTAGCAAGAACTTCTCTCTAAATAAAGATAAATAAATGAAACAAATAAATAGATAGACCAATAGACAGGCAGAGTGATAAATAGAGCTGAGAATGTAGCTCAGAAGTCAGGTCAATATTACCAAAAAGGAACAGGTGGTCTGAAAAGACTAAGAAGAAATAAACCACACAGCATCCAAACCTAGTTTGGATCATGGTTCAAAAAATAAGAGCAAGAGGGCCTGAGATTTAGCTTACTGGTTCCGCTGCCTGCCTTGCAAGCGCAAGGACCCGAGTTTGATCCCTGGTACCAAAATAAATAAATAAATAAATGAATAAGAGCAAGAAAAGAAGGATTGAAGGAAAGGAGAAGGAGGCAGGAAGAAGAAAGTATAAAATACATTTTGGGAGGCTATTAGAAACTTTTGAACCTGAACTGGTGTTAGATTGAGACAGGAGATTAGGGTGTGGCAAAACTGGCTGGGGAAGTAGTTGTGGCCTGTTAATTACAAAATTCCAGTGCTGAACTGTTCCCAAAGCCCCGCTTGTGGACTTGTAAAACTCAAGCAAGTTTTTGGTAGGATGGCCTACTTCTGACATCGGCCCGAGGAGTAGGCGATACAGAAAAACAGTTGCCACCGAGTTTTCGCTACTGTGTTCTCTCTTTGTGGTGGCCCACCCAGGCTGAAGGGTGCGCTTTCTTCCTACTTTTACTTGGCCCAAACTCACTCTGCAGATCCTGTTTCTTTTCCTACCTTTAATAAAACTTTGCTACCATTTGTGCTTGTCTTGACCAATTCTTTGCTCAGGACAGAGAGAACCAGAAGGAGAGATTCCAGCACCCCTACACCTGGTAACAAGATGACAATTAGCTCTTGTCAACTTTGTCAGGTGTGACAACAGTGTTGTTTCAGTAAGAGATGCATACCAAACTATTTAGGGGAAAGCAGACCTAATTTACTTTGCAATCGTTTGACAAAAAAAAGAAGAAGCAAATATGGAAAAACGTTAATCATTGAGTCTTGGCGGTAGAAATATGAGAGTCCTTGGTGCCATTCTTTCTTCTGTGTTGCTTGAAATGTTAATAGAACCAGAATCCCTCTGGTCCTGTGGAGACTGAAGCAGCATCTCTCTCATGACCCCAGCCTGGGAGCCTTGGAGTCCCTGGAGGCCTC